AGCTCTTAATGTGTGTTATTTTGACAGGGCGATAGGCAGACCTGATGTCTTGAAAAAGTATAGCTTAACGGTTTGCTCATACCAGTGTGTGAATAACTTAAAAGAATAACCAAAAAGAGACCAGGTTTTCATCTCCCTGCATTTCCCATCCCCATCTGTTTCAAAACCACAAAAGAAACATGTATTGGATTGGAGAGTTTATGAGAGTTTTCCTGGAATTCACATTCACTAACAATACTGTTTTCACATACAATACATAAGTTAATTTCTGTGAAGTTAGTATCCAAGCTACAAAGCACCATAAAAATATGGGAGATCGATATGATTGCAACTCTAGAGTTTCTCTTTAAACATACTAGACCCTCTTACCTCACTAAGGCCAGACGCTGTTTATATAAATAAACTAAAAATCTAAATTACAGGTAGACGAAAACGTGCTCTCTTGTTACAAAATCAGACTCAAAGACAAGTAGTCAGCGTAGCTGTGGGATGGAAGCAGGTGGAGTCGAGACCCAAATAAAGAGGCACAAGGGGACTTTCGAGGACCATGCAGGAGTGTAGAAATATGAAGCAGACCCCAGCTGCTAGCCACCGCCAGCATTTTTTTGGCTAGCAAGTCTTGCCTTGTTTATCTCAATGGATGGTTTATCTGAACGCAGAGTGGTCTTATTTTGTTTCAGGTGCTGACGACTGGAAGGCTATCCAAAGAAATGGGTCTCCTGCAAAACTCCACTGGTCCCAGCGCCATCGAGACGTGTTTACCTCGGCAGGAAGATCAGACCCCGTCTATTTCGTAGCTCCCGGTATGTATGGCATTTTTCCTCCAGAAGCCAACCTATAAGACTAGGAAGTCAGGATAGAAAAATGGAGTTGCCAAATGCAGTATCTCCAGAGGACAGCTGGGGACAGAGTCATGGCATCGACAGAGGAGAACGGGGTGTTCAGGCGGTCGGACTGGGGTGAGGTTCCTACTTCAGTCAAGTGGGAAGTTTCTAGGCTTCCCACCAAGACAAGACATAAGGACTGTGGTCAACTCTGTGGGTCTATTGAGAAGCAGATGGAAAAGCCAAACTGGGGCATTTCTTAAAGCTTTAACCACTTGGAAATTATATATATATATATATATAAAGCTGAATGGAAAAGCTCTGGCTAGAATTCTTATCTTAGTTCAGGTCCTTAGCTAACATGTGATTCCTGGGTAAGTTGTCCTCTTATTTAATCTTTCCAAGTTTCAATTCTCTCAGCTGCGAAACAGGAATAATAATGCCTGCCTCCGAGAATTATTGCCGTCAGATGTGATGACGTTTGCGAAAGCATTCTGTAAACTCTGAAGCTTTAAGTAACAAATGGCACTATTGCTGCTATATCTTTACGCACTGGTCTGTCATGTAGATGGAATTGTCTCGCAGGGAGGCCCTTTTAGCATCTCAGTAACTTACCCTCCTTTGTAGCCAATAGCGGTATGGCCACGTCCAGTGCCATGAGCTGGCTTTTCTGGAATGTGGTTTGGGGCGGGGAGGCAGGTGTGTAATACAGAACTCCAACAGAAGTTGCCAACATTGGTGCAAACTTGCTCACTCGTTTGCTTCTCCAGTTTCACAACTGATCTCAATCTTTTCAAATTTTACTGCACAGCCAAATTTCTTGGGAATCAGCAGGTGAGCTATGGGCGAAGCCTGGCCTTTGACTACCGCGTGGACCGGGGAGGCAGACACCCGTCCGCCCACGACGTGATCCTAGAAGGTGCTGGTCTACGGGTCACAGCTCCCTTGATGCCACTTGGCAAGACACTGCCTTGCGGGATCACCAAGACTTACACGTTCAGGTAAAAAGCAAGACTGTCCGTGGGTCAAGTACAGCAAATTGTGGTTGAAGTCTCGTCCCTTTGTTCATTCATTCAACCACGATTTATTGTTTCTACAAGATTTTCTGGGCCCCTTTTACGTAACAGCCATGGTGTCATGTGCTGAGACAGGACACGATTCCTGTCCTCAAGTCCCTGAGTGGCTCATGGGAGAGAAAAACAAACATGATTACAGTGCAGCTTGTAAGTGACGAGATAGACAAGGTAGACACACACATAGGCACAACTAACCCACATTGGAGCCATCAAGGAGATGTGTCAAGCAGAGAGCCGCTTTCTAAACGGGGAGAGGCTAACAAGGCAGTGGAACTATCATGCCTGAGGAAGTTTGGGGTTTAGGAAGTTGCAGGTAGATAAGCAGGAGTGGATCATGGAGTGGGGGTGGGGAATACAGCAAGAAGTCAGGTCAGAGAAAGAGGTGGGCTGAGGTCGCAGACGGCCCTGTGTGTCTAAGGAGGCTGCACATTACCCTGTGGAATGGGAATTTTGAATGGTGGGTACAGAGAGGTCTGGGAAGGAGGCCGTGCCTTCTAAGTGCTCAGTACTGATTAGCAGCTTGGAAAGCAAGATGAAGAAATTTGGCCTTTGACTTCTAAGAGTTCATGGTCTGGTAGGATATATGACATGCCAACAAGCAGACATAATACAGTACAATCATCGCTTCAGTGGTGGTGCATGTTCATGGGGACTCGAGAGGAAAGAGTATCTAATTCTGCTGGAGGAGTCAGGGAAAACATCACAGATGAGGAAACATGTGGGCTGAGAACAGAAGGAAAGCCCAGAGCCTTCCCAGGGACAAAAATCAGGACAACCTGTTCACAGGAGTATACGTGGGGATGTGGAAAGCCATAACACAGTGGGGACTGGCAAGCAATATTCATGGCTGCCACATAGCACGTGCAGGGGAGATGGACAGATAAGGTGGAAAGGACTGGAAAAGGACCCAGCACAGTGGGCCTTGTATGTCATGTCAAGGTGCTGAGATCTTGTCCATGTCCGTACAGTGATGAGAAGCCGTCGAGACACTGGGAGTTTGAGAAGCCGCATGATCGGCGTGGAGGCTGGGTGTGAGCACCGTGAGGAGGGCAGTTTGGGTAGGGTCCTTCATTGGACCATTAGAATACAAACCAAGTGCGCAGTAAATTGTCGTTTAACGAATCGGAGCATGAAATGAAAGGGTCGGGGTTGTTCCTTGAATTGCTATTCCAGGAAAAAAGCAAAACAGCATGAAAAACAATAGTGCAGGGGCCGGTGATGGGATGCAGTGAGGCACTATGATGCCAGGTTAGGAAGGGATTCGATGTGGACAATGTCGAAGGTGGAAACAGACTTTTAAAAAGAGTACGTGAAATACGCTTAGATTACAAATCATTTAAACAACAAAACCAAAAATGAATGGTTGCTCCAGAGGATGAGAGCTTCTTGAACTCGGAGATGTTTCTAATATTAGGTTTCGCATGACCAGGAATAGAAAGTGGTCTCTGAGGACATGGACCAGCACTGGATGCCATGACCCCTGGAGCTCTGGGATGCCCTCCAGCATGTCCTGTGGGGCTTCTGCTCCCCATGGAGTGAGAAAGCTATGTGCCTACAAGGATGTGGCTCCCCGTCCTGCCGGCCCCTCTCCGCAGGACGGCCAAGGGGCATGATTTGTATCAGGTTTCCAAACGATAAGATTTTTAAAGTGTTGTATTTTTAAGCTTTTGCTTTTAAATCGTGCAGATTAAGTGAACATCCAAGCAGTAATTGGAGCCCCCAGCTGAGTTACTTTGAGTATCGTCGGTTACTGCGGAACCTCACGGCCCTGTGGATCCGAGCTACCTATGGAGAATACAGTAAGCGACTGGGAGAAACGGATTTCTCTGCTCTTAGGTTTTAGTTTAATTTGCTTCCGCTCTCTATGGTTCAGCTACCAAACGAGTCGATAAATTACTTGATGGCTTTGATGTACAGTCTCGGAAGGGGTCTAAAATTTTATATTCTAGAAGAGGTCGTTAAAAAGGAATATTTCTGTAAAAAGAGGTTAGCACCAATGAAGAACGAGTGATGCCACTTTGCTAAACGAGTCTCCAGATTTAGATGAAAGCTGATTATTTGAAGAAGATAATCTATAACAAACGGGCACATTCCCTTAGCTAGGAGACAGGATCTATGACACAGCCTTTATTCCTAGGGTAGCTTTTCTTTTGGGATTATACTCCTAGTTACCATGTTTGGACATCGTCATATATTCTGCTCATTCCTCTTGTTGAACTTCACCTGTTGAGTCCTCCTAATCCTGACTGAAATTATTTGAATGAGAATTTCTTCCAATTTTTAGCCCCCATGTGAAAAGGCAGCATGGCCGACATGCACCGTTTCCATGTCCCTAATGCAGTGAATAAAGCGGGAAGTAGAAAAGGCGTTTCCTAACAACTTACTGAGTCTTTACTATGTGACAGGCATGTTCTCTCACTTAATTTGCACAACTTCTGCAGTTGAGGAAACATAGTCATGCAGAGGTTTATGTTATTTGCTCAATCTGCACAGCTAGTGTGTGGGGGCGGGGGGGGGGTGGGCAGCCAGAATGCAAACCGTTGTTTCTGGCACCAAAGCCTGGGCACGTCCTCGTGAGGGACCGCTATACCCTTACGCATGGCATGGTGAGTGAACACCACCTGCCTTCGATAGTTAAGAAAAATAAAATCCAATTGAGGCCTGACTTTAGATCTTTGCACCTTCCTGCTGGCTTCTTCTGACCTGTTCCCTCCGTTGCAGGTACCGGGTACATTGACAACGTGACCCTGATTTCAGCCCGCCCCATCTCTGGTGCGCCAGCACCCTGGGTTGAACAATGTGTGTGTCCTGTTGGGTACAAGGGACAGTTCTGCCAGGAGTGTGCTTCTGGCTACAAAAGAGATTCAGCCAGACTAGGACCTTTTGGTACCTGTATTCCATGTAACTGCCAAGGAGGAGGGACCTGTGATCCAGACACAGGTGAGCGAATGGTACCTGGACCAGGTGGCTGGGGGTACAGCCAGGTGATGAGGGTCTCCATGGGGGAGAGAGAGCTGTATAAGAAGGACCGTAGCTGAACTCATTTCGGAGATGGGAAAGGATTAAGGAATTGGGGCTGGAGTCAGGGGAAATGGACATGGCGTCATATTCCACTCGATCCTTTTCATTATGGAAACGCCACAGGTTGTGGGAAAGGTACTAGGTTACAGGAAATGGCTGTCATGGTTCAATGCTGGGTGGGGAGCTGGTGTCGAGTTGCAAGAATAGTACTGGGAGATCAAAGGCTGTGTCGGGGCCTGGATCAATGTGCTGACAAATGGTGTCAGGCCATGGGGGCGGGGGGCGCGGTGCTAAGTTATGGATAGTAAAGGAAGTGTGTATGTACTTAGCATGGGGCAGTGAGGGGGAGATTCAGGTTCGCGGCCATGTTTAGAGCTGGGACTAGGGCAGAGGTGAATGCCAGGGCTCAGACACCGTGAAGAAAGCTTCAGAAAGGAAGGCTTTGAGTTGCTGAGCTCTGACCCCCGAATTACAGGAAGTGTGGAGTTTCACCCCGCTCCTCTGCCTGCCTTTCCATTCTCCTCTGCCTCCCAGGAGACTGTTACTCAGGGGACGAGAATCCTGACGTCGAATGTGCCGACTGCCCCCTCGGTTTCTACAACGACCCGCACGACCCCCGCAGCTGCAAGCCGTGCCCCTGTCGCAACGGGTTCAGCTGCTCGGTGATGCCCGGCACGGAGGAGGTGGTGTGCAACAGCTGCCCCCTCGGAGTCACTGGTGAGGCCGGCGCCCGCGTCCCCTTTTCCTCGTGCCGTTTGGGTACCCAGCTTCTATGCCAAGGAAGGTCTAGGGAATTATGATTCCTTGGGGTTGTTGTAAATGGGCTCGTTCTGACGATGAGACTCTTTTGATGCCCAAGGGGCGAAGTGGAGGGAGGAAGGGCGGAGTGTACGGGAAGAAACCTCTAAAGCTGTTGTAGGAGGTTTGTAATTATGAGATGAAGTTTTCAAACAAAATACATGGTCTAACTCAGTTTTTAAAGATGAACCAAGGTAAAGAAGGAAAACGGAAAACGTAGAGACCTTTAAATGTCGCGTCTCCCTGCCGGTCAGTCTGAAAGAAGAGACCATGCTTTCGCGGCAGCCTTGGGCGTACTGCTCCAGACCTGGCTTTTCCCCGACCGTCTGTTTGACTGGCAGGGAGGCTCGGAGCGGTGCTGCTGGGGTCTGGAGCCCCGACCCGCTGGAGGGAAGAGCACGCCCCCTGCCCCGGGAGCCCGCTCCTGAGGCTGTGGTACGTTTGGCCTGAGCATCTGCTCTTGCTGCCGGTAGATGACCACTGGGCGTGGCCGTTTGTTTCTTCCAGGTGCCCGCTGCGAGCTCTGTGCTGATGGCTACTTTGGGGACCCCTTTGGGGAACGGGGCCCAGTGAGGCCCTGTCAGCCTTGTCAGTGCAACAACAATGTGGACCCCAGTGCCTCTGGGAACTGTGACCGCCTGACAGGCAGATGTCTCAAGTGTATCCACAATACAGCCGGTGTCCACTGTGACCAGTGCAAAGCAGGCTTCTTTGGGGACCCCTTGGCTCCCAATCCAGTGGACAAGTGTCGAGGTAGGACTGCATCCCAGACAGGTTGGACAGGGCTCATGTGTGAGTGTGTGTGTGTGTGTGTGTGTGTGTGTACGTGTGTGTGTAGACACATAAGCTTCCCAGTGTGTACACGTGTAAGAATGTACAAATCAGCGAGGCCAGCAGCAGTTCATGTCATGATGCTCCTTTGGTGTCTCTGACCAGCTGGCTCATGAACAGCCCAGATCGTTCACCTGTTGAAGCCCATAAGGCCAGTTTCCCCAGCAGCAGGGATGGAAGACTGAGCCGGAGGATGCTGAATGGGTTAAAGCTGGGTGGGAGAAGTGGAAAAGGTCAGGTTTACATTCTTAAGTGGAAGCGGAGATAAAACGGGGCACATCTTCTGCCAATACCAAGGCCGGCAGGCAGGAAGTGGCGCCACACCTGTTACAGGAGAATAACAAATGCCTTGAGACTGAACCTGAACAAACTGAGGGGCCGTGGGGAGTGGGCTGTAAAGTAGGTTAAGGGACACTCTCAGGAAGTCCGTGTCGCAGAGCAAATAAATGGCCAGCTGGAATTGATGCGCAGAAGGCTGCCAGTCGAAACGTCTTCCAGAGAGACTCGGCTTCAAAGGGGCATTCCTAGGGCTGCTTCAGATCGAAGCATGAACACGCAGGTTGTGCAGGCCGGTGCTTCTTCCACACCTCTGCACCGGTTATATCCACGAGGCAAGTTTAGTTCTAGGGCACTGGCCCGCCCCGCAGACATGCCCCTTACTCGCAAAGGTCCCAGACCAGCCTGGTGCCCAGAATTCAAGAGCTTGTTTATTATAAGGTCCAGAGTGGCTCTGGGGACCCAGATCAGAGGACTCCTGGGACTCCTGAGGACTCCATGCAACCCAGGGCTTCTCACCAGGGGCACGAATCCCATCTGCCCTGATCCCAACCTGTGGGTTCACTGTAATATGCTAGAAAGTACCCCAAGATAGGAAGACCCCCCACATGATATCTTGGCAGTACTAAGTTCAAGTCCAGTTTTTTTTTTTAACATACCTATAGTATTGTGTTGATTATAGCAATTAATCTCTCTGAGCTTCAGTTTCCTCATTGGGTGACTAATATTTAACCAAAAGGGGTTGCAAAGATAAAGCAGCGTATGAGAAAGTACACTGTAAACTATGTAATTCTAGCTATAAGGCGCTATTAATAGAGATTTCACTGGCTTCTAGAGCACACATTTCTTCACTCAGCTATCTTTTGTCAAGCAATGTGGAGCTCGATACTAAAGAGCTCATATGCTAATAAGGAAGACACACAAATTTGTAAGCAAATAATGACAGTACACTTAGATATGAGATCACATGTCTGAATGCTGAGCGTTTTGTGAGCACCGAAGATAGAGCCATCCAGACAATTACTGTAACTCCTTTAGAGCAATGTCTCACCCACTGTTACGTCCTCAGCTCCTAGAACATAGATGCTCAAGCAATTTGATTGGATGAATAAAGTTATTGCTTTCTTTCTGTACTTTCTACATCAAAGGCAGCAGGGCAGAAAGAAAAGAGCATTGCCTTTTTCGAAGTTCTCATTCCAGCTGGCCATTTATTTGCTCTGTGACCTTGGACCTCTCTGAGCTCATATTCCTCATCATTCCCGGACAACCTCAAGATGACTGTGGAAAGAATTCAGGCCCTGGGCATAAAAGACCCAGAAGAAATGTTATTCACCTTATGAGCAAAGCCGAAGTGCCTGCTGAATGGCTGACAGGCTTACCATTTAACAGGAGGAAAAATATAAGTGCCTCCAGAAAGGACAGACTATCGTAATATTTCTTCATCCACACACACACACCAAACAGACTTGCCAGGTGATTCCTAAGACTGCATTAGGAATGTGCTTGGAGGCATAGCTAAGAGATAAATCTAACACAGTACGAATCGTTGACACAATATGAATGCTGACTTAATCTTCTTCCTTTCGTTTTGCTATATGTCTCTAGTTTCTGGAATTTGCTTGATATGAATGTTTTCTATTTGTCTTTTGTCTCTAGCTTGCAACTGTAACCCAGTGGGCTCTGAGCCTGTGGAGTGTCGAAATGATGGCAGCTGTATTTGCAAGCCAGGATTCGGTGGCCTCAACTGTGAGCATGCAGCATTAGCCAGCTGTCCAGCTTGCTACGATCAAGTGAAGATTCAGGTGTGCATGCTAACCAACCTTCACCCCCACGAGTAAAAGCTTTAAGTGTCTAATGGGTGGTTTTGTCACAGATTTAGGACCTTCCTAGTCTCCTAAGGATGGTGGTGAGGGTTATTATTTTTTTTTAATTGTAGTATTTAAAAAGTTCTGTATAATAGTAATAAGACTTCCGATTTATGTTCTTATATATACCATTTTCAAAACCCCTTTCGCAGATATTATCTTATTTGATACTCATGATAATTTAGTCAGGTTGGCAGAAAAAGCATTCTGACCTCAGGTTTTACTGAGCAAACAAAGTCTTGAAAAATTGGCAATTTTTTAAAGTCGCGTGGCCAGGTGGAACCAAGAATCTCACCCATGTCCCCTGACTCTGAGTTCAGTGCTCTTTCTACTATAATATGCCACTTTCTAGGATGTTTTTCCAAGTGATGTTCTCGTAAAACAAACAAAGAAAATCATAAACATACAAAAGGTATGAGGAGTCCAAAAGGTGTCAAGGCTATCTAAGCAGACATAGCCTCCATAAATTTCTCATTCATGCTGTTAATTATTAAATATGACCTTGCCGGGGTGAGGTGTTGGGGAGGAAAAGGGCCTAAACAGAATCCCAAATATAGGACAAGCACAACCTGTTTTTAAAATTTATTCAACCAGCCCTCTCTAGCACTTCTTTTATTTCAGGCACTATTCTAAGCCCTGTACAAATATTAACTCATTTAGTCCCATAACTCTATGACATATTATTATCATTATCTCCATCTTATGGATAAAGAAAGTGACATGCCCAAGGTCACACAGCTAGTGAGCAGGAGCGCCAGGATTCACACTCAGAGTCTGAATTCTGAACTGCCAAGACCTGCCAAGCATTTCTGGGCTTTTAGCCGTTACCCCCTGGACACCTGGTATTCGACCATCATCTGTTCTGATCCTCTTCCCTGTTTGGTTTCAGATGGATCCGTTCATGCAGCAGCTCCGGAGCCTGGAGGCCCTGATTTCGAAGGCTCAGAGTGGTGGTGGAGGAGCACCCAACGCAGAGCTGGAGGGCAGGATGCAGCAGGCTGAGCAGAGTCTTCAGGACATTCTGAGAGAAGCCCAGATTTCAGAAGGTGATGAAGGCCGACTTCCTTTCAGACAGGAGAGAATTCACAGTCCCAGAAAGCATTGCCACACTAGGTCATAGACTCTTCTGTGGATATCAGTTCAGCTTATCTCTGCCCAGCTCTTGCAAAGAGGGACATCCTCCTGGGACCTGAATGATGGAGATGAAAGAGCAGTTGTATGCATTCATTCACTGAGTTTTCGCCATCTTGCCAAAAGCCCGTCAGAGTCACTTCTTCAGTCCTCTATTCTGTCTGAGCACCCTGCGCTGACTCTGAAAGAGCTCACCCTTCCTGTCCTTGTTGCTGTTCAGGTGCTGTGAGATCTCTCAATCTCCAGTTGGCCAAGGCAAGGAGCCAAGAGAGTAGCTACCGGAACCGCCTGGACAACCTCAAGATGACTGTGGAAAGAATTCAGGCCCTGGGCAGTCAGTATCAGAACCGGGTTCAGGATACTCACAGGCTTATCAGACAGATGCGCCTGAGCCTGGAGGAAAGCGAGTCTTCCCTACAGAAAACAGTAGGTGGGGCCGGGTTAGGGGAAGGGTGCCGCTGTGTTGGGAGACCCCCTCGCAGACATCACTGGATCGCTGGCTGTTTCTCAGCTTTTCTGGTCTGTCTGGCAGATAATTGGACTTCTCTCCCTCGAAAACAGTCACAACTAATTTTGTGTTCTTTAGCTTCCCACAGTTTTTTGTTTTACTGTGTTATGTTCTTCTCAATTCATTTCTTATTAACCATATTCTCATCTTGACCCTATCTCTTCTCCCTTATTTCTGCATATCTTCTAGCTTGTTAGCTCCCAGAGGGCAGAATTTAATTTCGTTCATTTGCATTCTCAGCCCATAGCCTGGTGTGTGGCTGTATTAAATGTTTGCTGCATGCGTGAATGAATAAATGAACAAGAGAACAAATGAAAAGAAGGGAGGGAGGGAGGAAGGGAGGGAGGAAGGGAGGTAGGAAGGGAGGAAGGAAGGAAGGAAGGAAGGAAGGAAGGAAGGAAGGAAGGAGGAGAGGAAGGAATGAAGGGAGTCCAGTGAAGACATGGTTTTGGAAATGGGAAAAGGAAGGAAGGAAGGAAGGAAGGAAGGGAGTGAGTCCAGTGAATACATGGTTTTGAAAATGGGAAAAAAAATTGTCGTGAGTATAACCTTCCTAATGATGGAGTCCGTAGTGTGGCGGGAGGAAGGGAGTTGAATGAACACTCTCTGTTTCTGAATGAAGAAGGCAAAGGTGACAATAACGTAAGTGGGCAGGTGGGAGATGAATAAAGGAAATTAGAAGATAAGCAGATAGTATGCTCAGTAAACGATTTAGAAAATAGTATGTATTGATTTTTTTTCTTATTACAAAAATAACATTTATTGTGAAAACTTTGGAACATAAATAAAAATCCCCTATGATCCCATTACTAAGAATAGCCACCATATTCTACTGGACTTGAAATACATATGAACATGTATATATGTTTTAGTGCACTGTATCTATATACAGGCTTTTTTGGAACATGAGTCTTTATTCTTGTCTATACGTTTTTAATTGTAGTGACCCCAGTGATGAGAGACTCGATATATCAGGGTGTAGAATGCTGTGTGGCTAATGACAAGCAGTTCTGATGGGACAGATGCAGAACCTGCTTAGGCACTATGGCCAAGTGCAAAACCTTAACCAATTTTCCTTTTTCACAGAACATCCCTCCCTCAGAGCACTACGTGGGGCCAAATGGTTTTAAAAGCCTGGCTCAGGAGGCTACGAGATTGGCAGACAGGTGAGCACTAGCAGAGGGCGCCCCTGCTTCTGATCATCTCTGCAAGGCCAGACTTGAATGACATTGCTGGGCGTTCGAGCCCTAAGCAGCATATTCATTACCTCCAGGCTCCTTTGCAACCATTCCTCTACCTTGAAGCCATTTTTTTTTTTTTTTTAACCTCTTGGCTTTTATGTGTCTTGGTGGCCACCAGGCATGGTCATTTGGCAAGAGCGGAGGCTCAGTGTGCTTCTTTCCCAGAGTTCTCTCTCCATGACTCACAGTATGGCTTTGGCGTATGTCAGATGTGATTCCTCGGGCCTCATGAAATGAATCAGCTCTTGGAAAAGAACACTCTGCAGCTTTGAGGGACTCCCAAGCTCCCATGCCGAGCCTGAGAACAAGTACCAACAAGTCTTTGCTAGCCTGTGGGGCCAAGTCTGCAGAGAGGGGACTTCCTCCTGAAAACTGGCTCTGCAGGGCCTCAGTGATAGCAGGAAGCTCTTATGTCCTTGCCTAACTATAAATCCCGCCATGTTGAAGAGGTTTGCTTAGCGCCCAGTGCTCAGCAGGGTGGCAGGCTCTGTCTCCCTCAAATGGAATTCGGTTAGCCAAAGAGGCTGGCTTGTGTTTTTGCAGCTTGAGCTTCCTCCTGAACTTGTTTTTCTTATGACTTTCTAGAAGAAAGACAAAAGCATCTGGGGGACTTTTATTGACAGGCTTTGTTCTCCCTAGTGGTGGGCCCAGTTTAAAGTCGTAGCAAAAGTGAGTAGGGGATTGGATCCTGGATGAAACAAGACCTACGAGTCTTTTTTTCCTACAGAAAACAACCTACAAATGCAATTCGTATTTTATCACCCTGATGCTGCTCCCAACACGCCCCCTCTCACTTCCCTCCCCCAGCCCTGGGCTTCCCCTGATTACACCATAGGTGGAAAAGATCACCAAAAAGTCTTTGACATGAGGCTGCTTCTCCAGAAGACATTCTGCTTCTTAATAGTTCTTCTAATTCCCCCAAACTGGGTCAATTCTGTTAGGCTTTCCTCTTCCTTCATTTAAATAAAAGGCCGAAAGGAAGTTCTTGTTCGAAAACTCAAATGCTGTATTTTTAATTCTTTCAGCCATGTTGAGTCAGCCAGTAACATGGAGCAACTGGCGAGGGAAACCGAAGACTATTCCCAACAAGCTCTATCACTGGCACGCAAAGCTCTGCAGGAGGGCGGTGGCAGCGGCAGCCTGGACGGCTCCATGGTGCAAGGGCTTGTGGGAAAGTACGTTTCAACAGGTCCTCCTGGGGCCAGTGTAATCTGCATCCTCCCGGGGTATAAGGCAAAGCACATTTGAGGGGGTGGCGCATTTCTTTAAAAAATATATTAATAATAAGAGGGACAAGAGAATGAGAGAGTTACTTTGGGGGGAAAGCGAATGCCTTTAAGGCTGGAAGAATAAGGTTGATCGATCTAAGTAAAGTTTGTGTTTTGACTGAGAGTGCATGCTTGGAGATGTGGTCACCCTCTGCGGTATTTGAAGGATGTGAGTAAACCCATCTGATGGCATGGAGGATATAAAAGTAATATAATGATGTTATCAAGAATTGGGAAACGTGGGCCGAATTTTCCTGACGCATCTGTATCAGCTCGAAGGCTTATATTTAGATTGTGGAGAAGGACACATAGCTGACATATAGGCTCATTTGGTTCTTCGGATAATTCCAACTACATACTTATAAAACAACAGAATGGATTCTTGCTTTTATTAAAAAGAATGAATTCTCAAAGTCCCCCCACCTTCTCCCCACAGATTAGAGAAAACCAAGGCTCTGGCCCAGCAGTTGTCAAGGGAGGCCACTCAAATGGACATCGAAGCGGATAAGTCTTACCAGCACAGTCTCCGCCTTCTCGATTCTGTGTCTCAGCTTCAGGGAGTGAATGACCAGTCCTTGCAGGTAAGGGCATCTTCCCTTCATGCCGATGTACAGAAGAAGGGCCATAATGCTTGCTTCTCTGGGAGTTCCATAATATCGTTCGATCATTTAGTTGACCTTTCTTGTTTAGAGTATGAACAGCATTTATCCTTCTTATGATCTATTTCCTTGTTCTTTAAGCCCAATCTTGGTCTCTGAAAAGGCCTTGGCTCACATCTTGAACCTATTAGTAGGTAAACGTTTTATATCTCTTCCCTAGTTTTGAGTGCTGTTGAAACTTGTAGGAAATTATTATAGATAAAATTTGATATTTACATTTGGGATCCAATCTATAGTATATCTCTATGTACAGCCACTCAGAAGACATGTGTTCTTCTCACAAGTTTTGCATTGTTGCTGTTGTTGATCCCAAACTTATTAGGTTAAGAAGATCCAGCTTTCTACCTACAGCAAAAATCACTCACAATGATTCTCACAAAAATGATCCTGTGTATATAAACTAACACATAAAATAATAAGTTAAAAAAAGAGACACAAAACCTGTTTGAGGGTGGTGGGATGGGTGGAAAAAAGGGAAGGGAATTAAGAATGTCAAACTTCTAGTTATAAAATAAGTCAAGGAGATGTATACACAGCATAAGGAATGTAGTCAATAACATCATAATAGCAATGTGCAGTGACAGCTGTTTATTAGACTTATTAGCATGATCTTAAGGTACATAAGTGTTGATTCACTATGGTGTACACCTGAAACTAATATAATATTGTATGTCAACGATAATTAAAAATAAATTTGAAAAAAAAAAAAAAGCCTGTTTGATGCCTGGGGGACCTGCTGATTGACATTGCTTTAGGCATAATGCTTCATTTCTGTTAGACTTTGGACCTGGATTTTTTTTTTGTTTTCAAACGATGATGTCAGGTCCTAGGAAGGCTGGTGTAGTGACTGGTGAGCAGAAAGTCAGACTCATTCATTTCTTTGGGCTCACAGATAGAAGCGAAGAGGATCCAACAAAAAGCTGATTCTCTCTCAGGCCTGGTGACTGAGCATATGGATGAGCTCAAGCGTATGCAGAGCAGTCTGGGAGACTGGGAAAAAGAAACGCGGCAGCTCTTACAGAACGGAAAGAACGGGAGACAGGTATCCCTTTGTTCATTGATTCGCTCAACAGATACATGCCGAATGCCTACCGTGTGAATAAGTATATCAAGAGGAACCACTGAAAACCTTCTGAAGGTCATGGAACAGCTGCTTCTACAGGAAGTGACTGAGATATAGAGACCTTGAAGTAACTGGCTCAGCTCTACCACTGAGTCAGCCCTCAAATCTAGGAATAGGACGCAGGTCTCCTGGGTCCAATTTTGGTCTAACTCTGTCTGCTTGCTTGGCCTCAGGAAGTATCTAGAATTTAAAATTATGATTTGCCAAACTGCTCTTGTCTCTGAGAGCGGAATAGAGTTTGAGACTGTTCTCTATATGGGATCCTTGGAGTTATTGGGTTATAAAGTTTGTTCTGTCCCAGATTGTGGAAGGGCTTGCTATAGAACCCCTAGACTCTTGGGTGAATCACAGCATTCTTGTTGTCGTGAAGAGAAATATATCAGAGTGATTGCTGGCCGG